CCCACTCACGTGCGCACCTCTGCCTCCTCTGTCTCTGAGGCGACACCGCACGCTGTCGATGGATCTCCGGCAGGCCACGGCCTCCCCCGCGCCCCCCGCGGGCGCGGGGCCACAGCTCCCGCGCGGACGCTCGCCGCTGAACCTATGCCTAGTCCCCGCGACCGCGGTCTCCCTTTAGGGGGACGGCGGGGATGGAAGCGGAGCTGCCCCGATACGCAACACGCAACACGTGGCGTATTGATACGGAGCTCAGCACGTGGACTGGAAACGTAGGTCCGACGCGATACGTTCGCCAAAACGTGGGCCAATACGTGGAGCCAACACGCAACGTATTGACACGGACGTCTTGAACACGGGACGTGTTGCGTGTCAATACGGGCGTATCGAGACAGCTAAGAAGCGGAGGCGCAAGAGGATGGCCCGAGAGGAGATGGCTTGGAGGAGAAGGAGGAGGGGGGGGCTGCGCCGCAACATGGGAGCAATGAAGCTCGACACCACTGGGGGAACCAAAGGGCACTGATATCGCTACTCCTCGGACCTCTCCTGGGGCGCGCTCTGACCAGCATGTCGAGGCGAGTCCAGCGGTGGCGACGAGGGCCTCCCAGGAGGCCGACAGGACGGAAACCTGCCGAAGGGTAGGGGTATGGGCACCTGTTCGTCCTCTGAACCACCACCACCAGCGCGAGGCGCCAGGGAGGGTACTCCAAGCGATCATCATCATCATCATCATCATCATCATCATCATCATCATCATCATCATCATCATCATCATCATCATCATCATCATCAACAGCAGCAGCAGCAGCATCATCAGCATCATCATCATCAGCATCATCATCAGCATCACCATCATCATCAGCATCACCATCATCATCACCGTCGTCATCAGCATCATCATCATCCTCAACATCATCATCAGCATCGTCATCATCCTCATCCTCATCGTCGTCATCATCATCATCGTCATCATCAGCATCGTCATCATAATCATAATCAGCACCATCATCATCACCATTACCATCACCACCGTCATCGTCATCGTCATCATCCTCATCCTCATCCTCATCCTCATCCTCATCGGCTCGCTCGAGAAGCCTCCACCCCCAGCATGGGGGAGGCATCGTGGGCCCCTCCTCCTGGGAGGTGGCGCCCCCCCTGGCGGTGGTGGTGCCACCTCGCGGCGGCGAGCCCGAGGTGGGGAAGCGAGAGGGGGCGGGGCTTCTCGGAAGGCTCGAGAACTGAGCACTCTCCTGGGGTGGAGGGCTCAGGGTGAGATCCACCTGAGCTTCTGCGCCTCGAAAGCCATTCCGTCTGATTCCCCTCTTGCAGATTCAAGCCGATCCATCGGAACGGCATTTCAGACTTCACCCTCTGCCCTCCACCCAAAGAAGATTCGCGGCAGAAGTCCCCTCGCCTTCTGAGAAGTTCTCGAAGCTTTCCCCGAAGACACAGACAACTGCTCAGGAGGCACTGGGGCTTCTGAGGAGTCCCGCCGCCTTCTGAGAAGGCCTTCCCCTTCTCCCTTCCACCCCTCGCTCGCCGCCGAACCTCTCCTCCCTCGTATTACACACTCACACACACACACACGCAACGTGCGCGTCAACGAGTCGCTAGCAACACAAGATAACCTACGCTGCCAAATTCGAAGACGCGGCGAAGATGGGCACGAGGTGCGCGTGCGGCACCGCCGCTCTCAAAACTCACTCCCGCCTGCGGGCTGCAGCCCCTGACCCAGGCCGAAGGGGCTGCAGCCCTTGACCCAGGCCGCACCCGGCCGCCTCCGCGCTGCCAGACCACGGCGCAGCACGGAGAGGAGGAGGACAGCGAGGAGGACGGCCGGGTTAAAACAGAACACCGATACCGCCACGTGCTCCAGGGGACTTCTCTCCCAGGGTGCGCTCCGACGGGCCTTGCTAGGAGGACCGCGCCCTGGCGACGAGGGCCCTCCGAGCGAGCAGAGGCATCGGCACCCCTCCCCCCTCCTGAGGGGGCGGCGCGGCGTAGCACCGCGCGCCTCCGTCCGACGGCAGGGTCAGCTCGTGAAGCCTGGCGTCCGCCTCACCGCGCCACCGGGCGCGCGGCCCTCCTCGTCGGCCACGCCGCCCGAGCCCGGCGCCTCGCCGGCCCCCGAGGCCGACGACTCCTCCTCCGCCGGAGTCCCCCCCGACGCCGTGCTTCTTGCGAACGGCACGCGACCGACATCTCCCAACCTGCACCTTCCGCGCGGAAGGTTCTGCCGCGGCCGCCGCTGCAGCCTCGACGGTGGCCGCCGCTGCAGCCGCGGCGGCGGCCGCGGCAGCGCGGCACCTGCCGCGCGGAAGGTGCGAGGCACTTCATCCATGCCCCGGCGCGCGCCCCGACGCGGGGATCAGCAAACAGGCAAACGCTTGCCTGCTGTTCGGCGTACAGCATGTCGGCTCCGCGGTGAGGGCGGCCGCAGGCCCAGGTGAGAGGTCCCAACTCTCTCAGGGCCCGTACACAAGCGCACAGTAGCGTTGCG